AACTATCATCGTTGGCCTTATGAATAAGACTCATTGTCTGAATGATTACAGGGTTCTTGGCTTGTTTGTTGCTAAGACCACTAGATGGTGGTAACTTGTAGAGCATATGTACATGAAGGAATTTTCTTTGTCTTGCCCCTTTACGAATGGTATAAAAGCTCTGTGTTAACTAACATTAAATTGTCATCTGTTCAGGAAGCAGGTGTTCGAGTATATTATCTTCGTCTTTCGCCTATCCGTCTCTCCTTCAGGAAAACCCACGACCTTGCGGGGCTGGACCCCCGCAATAGGCTCCTTAAAAAAAAAGCAAAACCAGGCAACCCCTTCGGTCCCCTCCCACTGTAGGAGCTTTTCTGTCCTCTCAACAAATCCTGCTTAAAAAAAAAAAAAACCAACAAGCTGAAATTCTGGAAATAAATGAATCATTTAGGAAAGTAAAAAGTGCGGTGGAAAGTTTTGACAAGTAGAAGAAAGGATCTCAGAACCTGAAGACTGGTCTTTTGAATTAATGCAATCAGACAACAATAAAGAAAAAGAATCAATAAAATGGAACAAAGCCTCCAAGAAAAGTGAGATTATGTAACACATCCAAATCTAAGAATCACAGGTGTTCCTGAGGAAGAACAGAAAACAACAGGTTTGGAAAACTGATTTTAGGGAATACTTGAGGAAAACTTCTCTGACCTTGCCTGCCAGAGACTTAAACATCCAAATACAAAAAGCTCAAAGAACCCAAGAAAGATTCGTTGCAAAAAGGTCATCCCCAAGGCATATAATCATCAGGTTATAGTTAATGTGAAGAAAGAATTTTAAGAGCAGTGAGACAAAATCATCAAATGACTTACAAAGGTAAACCCATCATCAACAGACAGTAGACACTCTCACTGTTATCCTGCTCATTGTGCCTTGAATAAATCAACCTTTCTTAATTCATTTTTTAAAAGGTAAAGCAGAGTTCTCAGAAGAAATCCTACAAACCTGAAGGGACTGGGGCCCCATCTTCAATCTCCTCAAATAACAGTCAGCCAAAGATCTTGTACCCACAAAACTGAGTTTCATAAATGAAAGAGAAATAAAGTCTTTCTCATAAAACTGAGGAAATGTGTCACCACTAGACTAGCTCTACAAGAAATACTCAAAGGAGTTCCAAATATGGAACAAAATATACCCGTAGAAAAACACTGGAAATCAGAAAGCTCACAGGACTTTTGGAATACCAACATAATAGATAGACAGATAAGTAAATAAATAAAGCAATCAGATAATAGCCAACATGATGAATGGAATAGTGCCTTACATACATATCATCATTAACCCTGAATGTAAATGCTCTCAATGCCCCACTAAAAAGATACAGACTGGCAGAATGAATTAAAAAACCCAATCCAAATATCTGCTGCCTTCAGGAGACACACTTAACAAAAACTCCTATAGATTAAAGGTAAAAGGGTAGGAAAAAAATATTCCATGCAAATAGAATACAAAGGCAAGCAGGAGTAGCCATTTCTGTCAGATGAAACAGACTTTAAAGTAATGATAGTTAAAAAAGGCAAAGACAGTTATTACATAATGATAAATGGATCAACCACACAGGAAGACATAAAAATTTTAAATATATATGCACCTAACATCAGAATACTCAGGTTTATACAACAAATTCTACTAGATCTAAAAAAAAAAAAGACAGCAATATGATAATAGTAGGAAACTTCAACACTCCACTGACAGCAACAAACAGATTATATAGGCAGAAAGTCAACAAAGAAACATTGGAGTTAAACTGGACCCTAGGGCAAACAAACTAGACAGTCTAGAGGAAATGGATACATTCTTGGAAACATACAAGCCTCCCCCACCTTGAATTAGGAAGAAATAAAATCCCTGAACAGGCCAATAATGGGTAGCAAGATTGAAATAATAATTAAAAGTCCAGAACCTGAAAGACTCACAGCCAAATTCTACTAGACTTTCAAATTCTTCTGGTATTAATTTTACTAAAGCTATTCCACAAGATTGAAGAGGAGGGAATTCTCCCTAACTTATTCTACGAAGCCAATATCACTCTGATATCAAAGCCAGGAAAAGACACAACAAAAAAGGAATCTATGGAACAATATTCCTGATGAACATAGATGTGAAAACCCTCAACAAAATATTAGCAAACAAAATGCAATAGCACATAAAAAAAAATAATAATCCGCAACAATCAAGAGAGTTTTATTCCAGGGATGCAAGGATGGTTCAACATATGTAAGTCAATAAACATGATTTACCACATAAACAGAATTAAAAACAAAAATCATGTGATCATTTTAATAGATGCAGGAAAAGTATCTGACAAAACCAAGCATCTCCTCATGATAAAAACTCTCAGCAAAACAGGCAAAAGGGGAACATTCCTCAAAATAATAAAAGCCATATATGACAAACCCATCAATATCATCCCGAACAAAGAAAAGTTGAACACATTCCACCTCAGAAGTGGACTCATGGAAGCATGCCCACTTTCACCACTCCTATTCAACGTAGTACTGGAAGTCCTAGCCAGAGCAATCAGGCAAGAGAAAGCAATAAAGAGCATCCAAATTGGAAAAGAAGAAATCAATGTATCTTTGTAGGCTGACAATATGATCCTATATCTAGAGATTCCTAAAGACTTCTCCAAAAGACTCCTGGACTGGATAAATGAATTCAGTAAAGTTTCAGGATACAAAACCAACACACACAAATCAGTAGCACCGCTATACACTAATAGTGACCAAGTTAACAATCAAATCAAGAACTCAATTTCATTTACAATGGCAGCCAAAAAAGCTAAAATACCTAAGAATATACTTAACCAAGGAGGTAAAAGATATTTACAAGGAGAACTATAAAACACTGATGAAAGAAAGTGTAGAGAGCACAAATAAAGGGAGAAATATCCTATACTCATAAATTGGAAGAATAAACATTGTTAAAATGACCATAATACCGAAAGTAATCTACAGATACAATGCAATCCCTATAGAACTACTAATGTCATTTTTCACAGAATTAGAAATAGCAATCTTAAAATTCAAAAAAAGAACCAAAAAAAGAGCCAGAATAGCCACAGCAATCCTAAGTAAAAAGAACAAAGCTGGAGGTATCACATTGTCTGACTTCAAATTATACTACAAGGCTATAATAACCAAAACAACACAGCACTGATACAAGAGCAGACACATGAACCACAGAATAGAGAATCCAGAGGTAAACCCAAATACTTACAACCAACTGAACTTTGACAAAGAAAAAAAGTATATATATACACTGGGGAAAGGACACTCTATTCAACAAATGGTGCTGGGAAAATTGGTAGCTACATGCAGAAAAATGAAACTAGATCCCTATCTCTCACTATATACAAACATTAACTCAAGATGGGAGTAAAAACTTAAATGTCAGACCTGAAACCATAAAAATCCTGGAAGAAAACCTAGGAAATACTCTTCTGGACATTGGCCTAGGCAATGAATTGACAGCTAAAACCCGAAAATCAAATGCAATACAAACAAAAATAAATAAGTAGGACTTAAACTAAAAAGTTTCTGCACAGCAAAAAAAATAATCAACAGAGCAAATAGGCAACCTATAAAATGGGAGAAGATATTCACAAACTATACATCTGACAAAGGACTAATATCCAGGATCTACAAAGAACTCAAATAAATCAGCAAGAAAAAAGCAAATGAGCCCATTAAAAAGTGGGCAAGTGACATGAATAGATATCTCTCAAAAGAAGATATACAAATGGCCAACAAACAAATGAAAAAATATTCAACATCACTAATTATGAGGGAAATGCAAATTAAAACCAAAATGAGATATCACCTTACACCTGTCAGAATTGCCATTAATAAAAGATTTTTAAAAAACAATAGATGCTGGCATGGATGCAGAGAAAAGGGAATACTTATATACTGTTGGTGGGAGTGTAAATTAGTGCAAAGTCTATGGAAAGCAGTATGGAAATTTCTCAAAGAACTATATATAGATTTACCATTTGACCTAGCAGTCCGGCTGCTAGGTATCCACCCAAAGGAACAGAATTTGCTTTATAAAAAAGACACCTGCACTCACATGTTCATCACAGCACAATTCACAATTGCAAAGATGTGGAATCAGCCTGCATGCTCATTAACTGCTAAGTGGATAATGAAAATATGGTATATACACTATGCAACACTATTCAGCTGTCAAGAAGAATGCAATCATGTCTTTTGTAGTAAATTGGATGAAATTGGAGAACATTTTTGGGGAACAGAAAACCAAACACCACATGTTCTCACTTATAAGTGGGAGCTATACTAAGGATCTGCAAAGGCAGAGAGAACGATTTAATGAACACCAGAGACTCAGAAGTGGGAGGGGGAAAGGGATGGAGATTTGAAAAATTACTTATCATGTTTCATGTACACAGGTGAGAGTGGTGGGGACACTTAAAGCCCAGCATTCTTTGCCACTATACAATGCCACCATGTTACCAAAAATTATTTGTACCACCTAAAGCTATTGAAATAAAGGGGAAAAAACCCAAATTATTTAACCAACTTATTAACCAGTTGAGATACTTGGCTAAAGATATTGGAATTAAATACTCTTGCTTCATATTGCTTAACAAAGTAAATTCTAGGTGAATTAAAGGTAAATGTATTTTTAATGAACTTAAAAGCCTAGAATATATTATTCTACTCTTGAAATGGAGATCTGTTTAAGAATGCATGCACATACCTCATCAAGGGTACCTGCCTAATCTACGTTTGTATACCTAACCCTGAATTGTACTCCACATCTTTATAATAATAATTTAAAAAGAATGCATACAAATTTAGAATTTTAGGGAAAAAATAATATATTGGCTAAATAAAACTCCGAATATTCTATTACATAGAAAAATTACATAAGCAAAGTTTAAAATCACAGAACTACCTTTTGCTAGTCAATTATCTGATTTAAAAATATATTTGCCGGGGGTGATGGACATTCCATCCTGGAACCATGGCCCAATTTGTCCGGAACCTTGTGGAGAAAGCCCCGGCGCTGGTGAACGCTGCTGTGACTTATTCGAAGCCTCAATTGGCCACATTTTGGTCCTGTGCCAAGGTTGAACTCGTTCCTCCAACACTTGCTGAGATCCCTAGAGCTATTCAGAGCCTGAAAAAAATAATCCATAGTGCTCAAACTGGAGGCTTCAAATAGCTCACAGTTAAGGCAGCTTTGCTGAATGGTTTGGTGGCCACCGAGGTGTGGATGTAGTTTTATGTCAGAAAGACCATGGGTAAATGTGGCATTGTTGGCTATAATGTTTGAAGACCAGTCTTTAACATCTGATGATATTTGACTTGTTATCTGAGTGTTGTTGAACCATGTGTGATCAGACTGCTATCTGAATAATATATAAATATATATCTATTTGCCACACATGGACACAAGGATGGAAACAACAAACACTGAGATTCCTAAAGTGGGGAAAGAGAGAGAGTGGTAAGGGATGATAAAGCAGTCATTGGGTACCATGCTCATCACCTGGGGAATGGGCTCAGTAAAAGTCCAAACCTCACCATCACGCAAGATAGCTACGTAACAAACCTGCACATGTACCCCTTGAATCTAAAATAAGATTATGGGGGGGCAAATATGAGAAAGATGGTGCTTAGAATCTTAGTATGTAAAGAAATCTCACAAATCAATTAAAAAAAAAAGACAAACACCCTAAAAGAAATGCAGGATAACCAAAAAAAAAAGAGTATAAAAAATAATTCAACATTATCCTTTTTAAACATATGTTCACTTTTAAATAGCAAAGTCGAAGTTGGTATTTTTTCTGAACAAATTAGTAAATCTTTTAAAATATAAAAACACATATTTTTGGAGGGAAAAAGTATCCCTAAGATCTACTGAGTAGGAAGATGATTTGACAGCATAAAAAATGTGTCTGAGGAGGGACCCAAAAAACTCGGAATTTACTTATGAACAATTGTGTATGTATTCTTACATATTTAAACTTCAGTCACCTTCAAAGTACTTTCCGTTTGATGCAATACACCTATCGAGATGCTTTTTCCACTGCTCACAGCTGTTTTTGAACTGTTTTGAACTTGTCAACTATGATGCCTTTTAGTGCTTCTGGTGATTTTTTGTTTCAACTCTTTCACGTCAATAAAACGTTTCCCTCTGAGGACTTTTTTCATCTAGGGAATAAAAAAAAAAAAAGTTGCCCAGGGTGAAATCAGGCGAATAAGAAGCATGGGGCATGGGAGTCATGGCGTTTTTTTGCCAAAAACTGAACACTCAGTGCTGTGTGGGCAGGTGCCCTAATAAATCATCCATCATGAAATGCGCAAACGTGTTGAAAGAATCTCAAAAAAAAAAAAAAAAAATTCACTGAAGCCAAACGCAGCCTCTCACAACACTGGCTGGTTCACTGATGCCAATGGGTTCCTAGAACACTTCCTAGTGGAGGAAGCCTGTGCTACAAGGAGCCTGCCCACCAAAAGATAATTCCAGGTTTTTTGGGTCCCCTGGATACTCTTCAACATAACCAGACTCTTCTCAAAAAGCATATACAAAACAATTAAGACAATGTGGAGAAAGATTAGCTCTTCCCCTAGAAATCCACATTGATCTTCCAAGTTTGAATTCCTTCACAGTGAAGCCTACGTGGCCACCCTACCTAAAGCCACAGTGCCTCCTCTACGAATGATCCCCCTGGACCGCTATTTTTCTCCCAGCAGCACCCATCATATCATATACTTTATTTATCTAGTTTTTATTTTTCTTCTCATACTGAAATATGAGTTCTATAAGGCAAGTATGTATGTCTGTTTTGATCACTGCTATGGCCAGGAGCAGTCCTTCATTTAAGCCTTAATGCTTATATAATTTGGAGGCACTCCTTAAGAAAAAAGAAGTGATTTTTTTAAATACACTTTACATTTTAAAAGTCTGAGAAATAAGGCAAATATTATAAAATCTAGAAAAATGACAATGCAGGTAAATTAACACCACCTCATAATTTGAACTATTTTGGTATTGGCTGGATTCCTGAAGCTACTTTCCCACAAAGCCTCGAAATAAGTATTAGACTTTGGTAGTTCACACAGAGTTCATTCATTCATTCATTCATTATGTTTTGCAGATTTATTGAGATATATCACATATCACAAAGTTCCCCCACTTGAAGTGTACAATTCAATGGTTTTAAGTATATTCACAGAGTTGTGCAAACATTACCACAATCAATTTGAAACATTTTCATCATCCATAAGTTTGTACCATTTTATCGGTTGATGGATTCTTTCTTTCTTTTTTTTTTTTGGTAGTTTGTTTTTTTATTGAGATGAAATTCAGATACTGCATAATTCATCCTTTTAAAGTATATAGAGGCAAAGTACTTTGGGAAACCGGAACCAAGGAGGAGGATCACTTGAGACTTGAGGGCATTAAGGGCAGGAGTTTGAGACCAGCCTGGTCAACAAAGTGAGACACCGTTTCTACAGCAACAAAACAATAAAAAAGTTTTAAAATTAGCTGGACATAATGGCATGTGCCTGTAGTTCACTGGACCCAGTCTCCACTTTGAAAGGGTGCACTGTGCAGTATCTCAATTTAAGAATGAGATTGCTGTCATATGGTAACTCAATGTTTAACATTTTGAGGAACCAACAAACTTGTCCAAAATGGCCACACGATTTACAATCCACCAGCAACGTATGAAGCTTCCCATTTCTCCATATCCTTGCCAACACTTGCTATTATATTTTTTACTAATTATTCTAAGTGGATGTGAAGTGATTCCTCATAGTGGTTTCGACTTGCATTTTCCTGATGAATAATAATGAACATATTTCCATGTGCTTACTGGCCATTGGTGTTCTGCTTTGGAGAAATGTCTATTCAGATTCTTTGCCTACTTTTTAACCAGGTTATTTGTCTTTCTGTTATTGAAGTAAGAAGGGGAGCCTCTAGAACCGAGTGACATGATCTCTCACAGACTCACTCTGCTATGTTGAGAGAGATCTGAAGACAGAAAAAGGCAGAAGCAGGGAGACCAGTTGGGAGGCCAGTGCAATAATTAGACACAACAGTGTCTTGAACCACAGTCGTGGCAGTGACACCATATCTGGCTAGTTTTTTGTTTGTTTTTTTGTAGAGATGACGTCTCGCTATATTGCCTAGGCTGGTCTTGAACTTGTGGGCTTGAGCAATCCCCCCACCTCGGCCTCCCAAGGTGCAGGGATTACAGGCATAAGCCACCGCACCCAGTGCAAATGAGAAATCTTAAAACTAAGACCACTTTGCCTATATGCCTTGTATTGAAGATAAATAATTGTTTCAAAATAGTCATCAATCAATTTTCTTTGAGAACCGTTTTCTCTGATGGACATTTTATAGTTATGTTGACATTATCAAACGTTTTCTATTAGAAGTTTAACTTTATACTTAGTTGGACAGCACAAAGAAATAACGAGCTCCTTTTTTTTTTCTTTTTTTTTTTTTGAGTTGGAGTCTCACTCTGTCGCCCAGACTGGAGTGCAGTGCCACGCTCCCGGCCGCCGCAGCCTCGACCTGCTGGGCTCCGGCGATCCTTCCGCCTCAGCCTTCCAAGTAGCCGGAATTACAGGCATGTACTACCACGCCCGGCTGATTTTTTGATTTATTGTAGAGATGAGGTCTCGCTGCACAGGTGGGTCTCGAACCCGCGGGTTCAGGCAATCCACCCACCTCAGCCTCCCAAAGGCGCGGGATTACAGGCTGAGCCACGGAGCCCGGCCGAGCTCCATTTCTTTAAAACTTGGTTTTCTAAATCTACTTGTAAAACATTGGATCTTTCCCAAATATTGCATGCATGAGGATGTCATTCCTTAAGTACTATTTTCTGTTAGTGCATTTTCTGTAATTCACAAAAAGACTTTATAATATGCAGAGAACTTTTTTGTTTTTGAGTTCAGTCTCACTCTTGTTGCCCAGGCTTGAGGGCAGTGGCACGCTCATGGCCACCACAGCCTCGATCTGTTGGGATTAGGCGTTCCCTTCACTTCAGTCTTCCAAGTCGCTGGAACTATAGATGCACGCCCGGCTAGTTTTTGTGAATTATTGTAGAGACGAGGTATCACCAAGTTGCCCAGGCTGGTCTCGAACCAACGGGCTCAGGCAATCCTCTTGCCTCGGCTTCCCAAAGTGCTGGGATGACAGGTTGAGCCACTGCACCCAGCCTTTTTTTGTTTTTGAGTCTGAGTCTCACTCTGTCGCTCAGGCTGGAATGCAGTGGAATGCTCACAGCCACCACAGCCTCAACCTGCAGGGCTCAGGCAATTCGTCTGCCTCCAGCCTTCCAGGTAACTGGAACTAAAAGCAAACAACACCATGCCCGGCTCATTTTTTGTTATTGTAGAGACAAGGTCTCACCAAGTTGCCTGAGCTGGTTTAGAACCACTGGGCTCAGGCAATCCTCCTACCTCAGTCTCCCAAAACACTGGGATTACAAGCATGAGCCACCGTACCTGGCCTTAGAGCACTTTGTTTTAAAGTGTCTGTTTTTCTGTTTTCCAATACAGCTTTTCCAATCTTCCACGTCCACCACAGGGAGTGTCAGCTCCAGCAACGCTGTCATTAGGGCCTGAATCCCTTCCAGTCAGCACAACATTCCTGGTTGGCTTCTCTTCCACCCCAGGAAGCACAGGTTCAAAACTGGTCCCATTCACATGGAGATTATCCAGACAAAAACACTGGGAACATAAACCTGCCGGGCTCTTTTTCAAACCTATGTATCCCAAAGTAAAATACAAACTTTTTTGTTTAATAACATACATAAAGGCCTTTGTGAAAGTGTAAATGTCAGGTTTTATTTTAGAAGCACTCATTCTCATCACACATGTGTAATGCATCCTGGAGCGGCCCTGGGATCCTTCACACCACATTGGGGCTACACCACTCTTCTACCCCAGCAGCAGGGCTATTTGTGTGATTAAAATTCACAACCTGTTATACACTGGAATGTTTGCAAATAAGGTGCTTAAAAAAGAATTAAAGTGCACAATTAATATTCATCTACTACAGAAATATTTTCCAGTTGTGAACCGTGCTTGGAAAATGCTAGCATATTCATAGTTTGGTTCTATCAGGGCACAAAATCTGAATTTTGCAAATCTAGGAAACGCACGTTTTTGCAACACCACCTAAGCATTTCCCTGAGAGCATAAGGAATGCCATTAATATAATGAACCATTTCAGGATCCAGAAGGGTCTTCCTCAGGGAGATATACATCAGAGGTAAAGATTTCCTGAAGATGTTAAGAAAAATCTGTGGG